CAAAGGTGTGAACTTCCAAGCAGAAGCAAAAGAAAAAAACCCGTGTTGCTTTAAAGTAACCTTAGCATTGGGAACGAAAAAGCTTTGCCAGTAGTCATGCAACACACTTCGAGTAGTTGCAAAATGAAGCTGAGAAGATGTAATTAATGATTCTTCAGCCAGATTTCAGAGACAGAGCCAACAACTTTTGAAGCCACTGCAAGTTTCCATGCAATTTGACGAAAAGTCTAGAAGTCTTGTAAATTATGATGGTACTTAAAGATTACATGAAAACAGGCAGCTTGGCTGGAAGAGAGAGACCTTGTAAGGAGGCAGAGGTGGCAGACAGTTATTTGTTTCGGTAAAATAGTAACTGTGCTGATTTCTAAGCTGATTTAGTGATATTACTTGTTATAGTGAAAAGACTGTGATGGCTGCAGTTACTCGTGTGTTAGGGTATAGCAGCCAAACAGGTGATAACGTATTTCCGCTGACTAGTGTGTCTTGTTCTGGAAGCTGTAAAGGCAAGTGGCCAGAAATTTGTGGCAGGCATATATTTTGTTCTTGTTGAGATCATTGATGACTGAAGAGAGAAGTGAGGTAGAAGAATTCAGGCTTTTAAATAGGTGTTGATTTGAGAGTTCATAGCCCTTGTTTAGTGCCTTTGGTTGGAAACTGTCATGCAAAACTGATCCCTTTAGTCTGAAAGGCAAGAGTATTTCTTTAACTGTCAGCTGCTAAAAATCTTATGTAGCATGTCAGTAACATCGATGTGAAATAACTGTTTTCCTGGGAGATTGCACCTGCTGAAGGCTGTGTGGTTCAGTGAGTTAGGACCTATTGTTAGTGACCCACAGCATTGTCAAGCCAGGAACTTGCAAAGAACTGGTAAACCCCAGTGGCTAATAAATGCTACAGTGCTCTTAGCAGGCTTACCACAGACATGTAAGAATAGTCTGCAGTTCCTGAATGTACTAGAGAGTATTGAATTTGGGTTAAGGGAGTGAGCGGTCTAGGTCCCAATCATATGAAAACTTAGCCAAACATTATGGGAGGTGGAAGGAACCAAGGTTGATCAGCAGCATCACTTCTCTGGTTTATGGAACTGCCTACAGTGAGGATAGGCTTGTCAGCAGACAAAAAATACTCCTTGGGTATAGACCAAATCCAGAAAAATTTTTTGTGACTACCGTATACATCCTTGCCAGCGTCTTCTACAATAGCTTCCTTTGATCTTGGCTTTTTATTTCCCCCTCTTCCTTTTTTTTAAACAAACTCAGACTTTGATATACTTGCACTGATACACTTGTAAATTTAAAAACAAGATGCTACTCTAAACTTTATCTCCTTAGGGAGAGGATGTGATGACAAATGGATGATGTAAGTTAATCACATCACTTATGGCACCATTGGAAGGCTCATCTACAGTGCTCCTCTAGAGAACTCTGTGCCAAGATAGTATTATTTCACAGCTCCTGTCTGTTCCTTGGGTTGAATGACCATTTGGGGGGCGAAAGAGTAGTGGAGGGACTGGAGTGCCCATTTGGTGTTAACTTCTAGTTGAGAAGTACAGAGAGATCTTTTAAATGGAATACCTTATTTTGGCTGCTGTATGCTGAGCCATCTTTACACTGAAATGCAGACAGCAGGCGACAGGTTTGCTGAATTGCCACTGTTGGTGGGATACCACTGCATGAGCACTTTTGGAGACGGGGTGTAGTATATTCAGTAGGGAATTTCTTTTAGATTGGGAGACTCTTGACAGCAAGCCTGGTGTTTCTGGGTCGCTGTATTGATCGTGTTGCTCTTGCCCTCTCAAAGGTAAGAGCACAATGAGGGACACCTCAACCATGCATTGGCCTGCAAATACACTTCACACATGTATGGTTACCACAGGCCATCTCTACTGTTCCAATCCAGTCTGTTTCCTGTTTTTACCCCTTCAGTGTTCCCAGTTTGATATTGCTGATTATCAAATATAGTTCATCTTAACATCAGTTTTGTCTTCTGGGGCAGGAGCAGGAGAGTGGAGAAAAAGGTACGTTATTATTCATATGGGAAACTATATAAAGTGGAATTAGGAACCCTGTATTGCCAATAAAATGCATGCTCAAGAAGCTTTTCTGGTATGTCAAGGAGAAGGTTCTCTTTCTGACAAAAATGTATTGGGTCAGTTTTTCAATATGGATAGAGAAATACTAAATCAGAAATCAGTAGAAAGCATTTGGTGGTTGAAAGAGTTGAATATCAGATTCTTCTGGGTTTTTGTTTTTTGGGTTTTGGTGTTTTTTGGGGTTTGGGGGTTTTTTTGTTGGTATTTTTTGGTTGGGTTTTTTCGTTTGTTTGGTTTTTGTTCTTGTTTTGTTTTGTTTTTTAGTTATAGGCATCATGTTATCTTTAGGAATTAAGAGTTAAGATTCCCTGTGATAGCAGGAGACTTTTTGGGCCCAATGATGCTCCATATTACTAAGTGCTTTTGATGTGTGGTACTGGCTTCTTGAATACATGTGATTTTTTTTATATGTGTTCATATATATGTATCTGATTACAAACAGTTATACACCTTACATTTTTTACTTGACTCCTCTTTATTTATCTTTACTGCAGTGATTCATTTTTTCTATATATGTACTGTACTGAAACTTTCAAACGAAAACAAATCTGAAAATATTTTCTTGCCTTTAATTGCTCTGTACAAATCATCTTAACACTTTGCATAACTGACTTCAGAGAATCTTTCATCTTTTTCTGTGCTAATCTTTGTTTTACTCTTAGTTTCACCTCTGTCCCGGTTTTCTTAGAGTTTGGCCCTTTGTAGAAAAATGGGTGTTATGCTGTGGAGCACTTTGACTTTTATGTGGGGGGGGAAAAATGGAAATTAATACTCCTTTTAATTAGTTTAAGGTTCAGATAAGATCTTAAACTGATACACATTTCCAGTTACTCGCTACTTTTTTTTTCTTTGCCTTTCTGGGTTTATTGAAGTGAACATAAAGAAAACAAAATTACCACATGATTTTCTGTCAAGGTCGGTTTCCAGTTAGATTTCAGACTTCTTGCTCAGTGCTGTCACAAATCACACTTACTATTTCCAGTATTATTACATCAAATTACTTATGGGTGAGGTATAGTAAGATCAGTAAACAAACAAAAACATCTGATTATGCATGGAGCAGAAGGGACTTTTGGTTAGGTTCCAGTTATTGATTTTTTTTATTTTTTAATAATGCAGGCAAGTACCAGTGTTTCTTTTAATATAAAAGGGCAATAGTTTTAGGGGTGCAAGATTACCTGCAGGTATTTTTGAAAGTCATGTGATTTGTTTCTGTGGTATCCCAGCTGTACAATAACTGAGAGTTGTAGAACTGCTTGCAAATGTGTTGTTGGTTGTTCTGAGCTGGGGAAAGTTATCTTTCAGTTTATACAGAGTTCCAGTTACAATCTTTATTTTTATTTTTTAATTCTGCTCACCAATCTTGAAAGGCTTGCACAGTTGAAAATATTATACTGAGAAAGCTGCAAGTTTTGAAGAATACTGATATATTTTGTATTTCACATGCTTGTAAAATTTAAAGTGAATAGTTTGGTTGTAATGTGAGGTCATTTAATTTTTTTTATTTCCTCTGCCCTTCCAAATATGCAGCCTTTATGGCTTTCCTTTAAGTTTATTGTGCTCTGTGCAGTTACTTCAAATTTTTGTGTAGTGATGAAGTGGTTACGCCAAACTGATTGAGCTGTCCCTTGTTACGAGGTGATGACTGCATGGGCTTGACATGCGCCTGTGGTGATATTTTGGATGATGAGTCATTTAGCCTAAAACTTGCACCTTTGGCAATAAGAGAAACAACTTACTGCTGGAATTTGAAAATCTTGGAATCAGTTATTGGGGCATCTACCAAAGTGCTCTTGCTCTGCTATTTGCTATGTTTTTCAGGATACTTTAAGAATACAACCAGTCTAATGATGTATTTATGTAGTGTTTACTAGGTAATAGAAATTTTTGAAAGCTGAGTGCTAGCTGAGAATCCATCTGTAACATCTTAGTAATCTTCAGGCATAGAAATATGTATTGGTTCGTGTGATTTGCTGGGGTATTGAAATAAAAATTATCTTAGGCTTTCACATGTTAGATAAAAGTATTTTTTAGCAATCTTTTTCTTAGACTTGGAGATTCAAAGTTAGAATAACTCACATGATATGTGTTTTTTATAAACAGTCGCGTATCATTAGCACAATGATTAGAGTAATTTTATCATGGGTTTTAGAGGCATATAGTGTGTTAGAAGAGAAATGATTATGACATAAAATATTTTCTTTGCCTTAAAAATAACTTTTAGGTGGCAATTGTTTCTTTTTTGTCTTCCCTGGTTATTGTTGCACCTGCCTTTAGGTTAAGAGGTTTCTTTGCCCTCTTTTCTGACCTGGGAGGATTCAACCTTTTGGAAAACTGTATTTTTATATTTTCTATTTTTTGTTTTTCTTTTTTTTTTTTTTCTTCAGATTCACTGGAAAGAAAATGAAATAAACATGGAGTCTGCCAAATGGAAATGTATTTCATGGGTCAAGGTTAAAAGTAAAAAGAAGATGGAACGAAATGAGAGAACAGGAATATAACGACTGTCAAGAACTTTCCATTTTTGCAATATAATACAGCTGTTGATTTATAGGAATACTTTATTGATATTCCTGGAAGGAGAAGTCAGTTACTGTGCTATTTGCTTAATAAGAACTTCTAATAACTTTTTCACATGTTTTAAGCTTAACTGGACACGTTTTGGTTTTCTTTAAGTCTGGGAGTTAAAAACTTTATATATCTGTATTTTGACTGAGACACTGATCCTGGTAGATGACTGACAGCTGCTCCTGGAAATGGACTTAAACCCATGACTGGCCACTGTTGCACAGAGTTGAATGGAATGCCATAATTTTAGAGCAATTCCCATAGGACCTTCTTTGCCTTGCACCCATCATATCCTTAATTATTTAAGTGTAAATATTGCAATTATAAAGTCTAAAAAATAATGGCATGGGTGAAATTTTTAAGAAAACCTGGGGGTAACCTTGGAAAAGTTTATCAGCCTGGAAGTATACTGTCCCTGGCACCTACAAAAGGCTTATTAAATGAACCAGGACAAAACAGCTGCTTTCTTAATAGTGCTGTCCAGGTAAGAAAAAACGTGATTTATTAACAGTTTTGCTTTTACAGCAGCTTAGATAGTCATAGTATGGAAAGTGGTCTCTTGGCAATGCTGTTCTTATAATTCATATCACAGTATGTGTATTCTACAGGAAACACAGCATGATTTTCAATAGTGTTAAATTCCATTCTTGGTTAAGCTTCTTAATGATTCCAAGCGAGACAGAATAGCATGTCTTTATGGAATGGACTTTCCTAAGGCAAGGTGGGGAAGGAAATATGGCAATTGTAGAGAAGACTACTCTGTGGAAGTAATCACATTTAGTATTTAATTTCAAGAAATTGACTGAGTATTAAATATTTGATTTTGCAAAATATTACAATGTTGTAATGCTTGCATGCATTAAGAATATCAGAAAAACTTCCCTTTTGTATTTGGAAACTCATGACTCAACTTTAAAACTTGCTGCTGAATTTTTAAACTAACGTTTCTGTCAAACATAACTTTGTTACCTGTCAAAATTTGAGATATTTTTTATGTGGGGCAACCAGTACTACTACTTGTATCGAATAAGACACTATTTTTATTAAAATACTATTTTCTCAAGATTGGAATGAGCCTGTGGTTCTGGGACATACCAGAAGATGCACATACCTACAGATATGTGAAGATATCAGCTGAAAGCTTTGATTCTAATAGGGGAGACTGTATTGGTAGGACAAGGGGTAATAGGTTTAAACTGAAACAGAGGAAGTTCAGGTTAGATCTAAGGAAGAAGTTCTTCACTGTGAGGGTGGTGAGGCACTGGAACAGGTCGCCCAAAGCAGCGGTAAATGCTCCATCCTTGGCAGCATTCAAGGCCAGGCTGGGCAGAGCCTTGGGCAATGTGGTCTAGTGTATGGTGTCCCTGCCCAGGGCAAATGGGTTGTAACTAAATGATCTTAAGGTCCTTTCCAAACCAAACCATTCTGTGATTCTATGAATTAAGAGTAGGAGATAAACTTGATACCAAAGAAATATGACTTAGATTTCATGTGTTTATTTACATACTGTTCTGAGCTGAAATTGAAAAAATGCTGGCTCTTCAGATCTTTCAGGAATAGTATAATAGTACAGTGACAATAGCTGATGAAAAAATGATATTTTACAAGCCTACTTAGGGAATATATGGATTTACTTAATTCTGTGACAGAGCAATGCTAGCCTTTACACACTGCCTGCAAATTGGAACACTAGGCACAACTGAGTTTATATTGTAGTCTTTTTTTAAGTCTGGAAATTAACAGCAGCAGCAAATTTCTGGGCTGTGTAAATACGGGGCAGAACAAAATACTTTTTTGTAGTGCTTTAATTTTGGACCTAATCGTTACCAAATTGCACAGAATTATTTACCAAACTGGCAATGGCTAAATAGGTGCATTAATGTCAACCAAAAAAACCACCACAAACAAACAAAAAACCAAACAAAAAACCAAAACCCGACCCCAAAAAAACCCACAACAACAACAAAAACAAAAAAAAAACCCACTAAAACAAAACCCCTCTGTTTCTTAAAAATGGTATGGATTTAAACATAGGAATGAGAAAGATCTCTATGTGGTGTGTATATAGTATCTGCATACGTTTAAAATATGTGCAGTAGATTTAGTAGAAAGAGCTTGCTGGTTTACATTCAATGGGAACAGCATGACCTATTTTCTCTTGCAGTTTTGCTATTTTCACATAGGGTGCCCTAAAATTAAATTCTAAGTAATTTTTAGTTACAGTTTCAGACAGTCCTACTACTTCACAACCTATTGCTGTTTGTCAAGCAGTGGCTGATGATTGGTGACTGCTGTTTTGCAAGGAGGAATGTGTTCCTTCTAACCTATGTTCAACCTTTAGAACTGAGTTCCAGACACTAATTTTCAAATGCATCCTAATTAATTTTAGGTTTTATATTTATAGATAGGATTGGGGTTTTTCACCTGGATGTGCAACTGTTACTGTGCCTCTTGGAATTCATTTTTGTAGTGGGGGTTGTGTTTGTTTTTTTAAATTGGCAATTTTCTGAACTGCTGCACAGATTGTGTACTTAAGACATTAGCTACTGAAAGTAGTGTGTGTAGCCAAGCTGACATTACCTTTATATAGAGTAGATACACAAATAAAAAGTAGAAACGTACCTGATTAAGCACCAGGATTAGATTGATATGTGGAAAAACAAATGCATTGCAGCAATCGTTCTAGTAAGAGACCATAAGAATGTAATATAGATTTAACCCAAAATAATGCTTGTATTTTACTCAGCAATTCAGTTTCCTTATTTATTTTTTTTTTTATTTGAAAGAAAGCATGAAAGGGGGGAGAGGGAAAAAGAACCATAGGTACCTTCCCTTTTTGTAAAGCTGTAAGAAGACTTAGAATCTCTGTACACAGTTTAGCTTGCTACTTGTTTCCTTAAGAGTGCTTCAGCTCTTCTTCCCCACAAAGTACATGGTTTGACACTGTTTCAAAAAGTTTAAACAGATCTAAATTTTGAATGATAAATGCGATTGCACTTCCGCTATTTACCAAATTAATGGAAAAGGACCATAATTCTTGTAGCAATATTGGTGTTCTAGTTGTACGTTATGTGAAATTAAAAAAAAAAGTAAATTACTGCATGCTGTTGTTTTAAACTTAGAACTTTCAGAGCTCATTACTTATATTCTGTGAAATTTTATTTTTATAGGTTTTGTGGCAGCTTGACATATTTCGACGAAGTTTAAGAGGTTTAACTGGACATGTGTGTCAGGGAGATGCGTGCATATTTTGTGCTTTAAAGGTAAAGAATAATTTTTTGAAGATTTATCTTTCAAAATGAGGGAAAAATAAGTAATTTTTACTAACATATATCCCTATCATGTCTATGTGTTCTTGTAAGTATACTAAATAATTCTTGTGTGAATAAGCAATTTAGATTTAAGGATGCTTGAAACGAATATTGTGTTTAAAGAAGAAATTTTGCAGTACAAAAGTTTGTCTGCTTATACATAGAATTTTGTCAATTAAAAGACAGACTAGGAAATTTCTAGCTAGCCTCTTGGAGATATTTTTATATGCATTTGCTTTTGTTCTTTCCTGTAGTGTTTGAATACAGTTCTTTTACAATAACTATATTACTGTCTGTTAAGGGCTCAAGATTCTTTTTATTCAGTAGTTGATGACCGTGGAGAACTTAATCATTCCATTTCGAAGTAATGAAAGGCAGGTAGTAGCACTGGAAAACTAATGAAAGCTGGTAACTTTGTGTTTAGTGTAGAAAGTAAGTCAGATCTGCATATCTTGACTAGTGCATAAAACCTGCACTTCAAACCATTTTGTAACTCATCTGAAGTCTGTCAGATTCTGTTAGGTTCCTACTGCTTTTATAGCACTGGTATTTGGCTGCCTGCAGTTACTAGGGAAATAGCTGCAAGCATATCTCTGTTTCACTGGGGTAAAAATACCAATGCAAAAAGCACAGGGGTATGTTTTTAGTAGTATGCGCTTTCTACTTTTACTGCAGTCTGACAATAAAGATACTTCTAGGATTCTTATACTGTAAGATGGATCTTTAATTCTGTGGTAGATATAGTTATATACAGAACTGGAATTGTTCATCTGGAGGGAGCTTAAAAGGAAAACATTATTTGAAAATGTAGCCAACTGAGGATGTGGTTTTTGATGATGCTAAATTATAGGTAAGAATAAGCCAAGTATTTTAGAGTTTATTCTTGAGGAGTTTCACAGACTGGAACATGTTACTTGTACATGAAGTCCAGACTATAACTCAGGCATACCTCTGTTTTCCTGTGTCTGTTTTGTAATTATATCTTCAGTTTCCTAGAGTTTTGTGTGTCTAGGGATTCATGTTCATATCTGATACCATAATACGGAGTAAACTTTGTCTTTTCCTTTTGATTCGACCCATATTACATGTGAAGTTCATACGCAGTCTTCTTCCGAGCTGCACTGGAACCACCTTTAAGAAATGAAGAGGGATTGATGCATGGCAGTTGCTGGAATGCGTGTGTTACACTACATAGTCTTAATGACTAATCATATAGCTGAAGTCATAGTAAAAATAATGTAGCCACTTCAGTGTGCTCAGAAACATGAAGAAGGCAGTGCTTGTGGTGTGTTGCAGTTGAATCTGTTAGTAAGGAATTGCTCTGTTCTAAGGGTGCACTTCTGAAGACCAAGTGCTGCTTTTTTTCAAGCTGAACATACCACTTGGCTGTACCTCAATGTCCTCCCTCTTCCTGTATTTTTTTGGGTTCCAGTGCAAAGAAAGTTAAGGTTTGCATCACTTGAAGTCACTTTCCAAAGCAATACACTAGCTTCAGCTGCTTCATAAGGCAGCTGTAATTTAGGACTTGAAATTTTCTTTAGTCTTTCAAGTATCTGTTCTTGAGGGATTGCTTACGACCGTGATGCATCTCTGTGTGTGATTTATCTAAACAGCTTACTGTACCTGAATATTTTGCATTACCTGGACAGTCTTCTTATTTTGCTCTGTTCCCAAGAATACTGTTAGTAGTAGTATTGCTGCCTGTTCTGAAATTGGTTAAAATGGAATTAGTTACTTTTTAATAGTATAGTTGTGATCTCTATAACTCCATGGTCAGTAGCCTAGGTACTGAACTCAAAACATTGTAGTTAACACATTTGGAAGTATCTGTCCTCAGTCATTATGTCCACTGTTGATTTTGCTTTCTTGGCTTTTCAGAGATACTGGTTGAGTGATTCTGTTTGTTCTGTGTTCAGAACCTGGGGCGTTTTGATTTTCATGTAGTATATATGCTGGATGAAGATACATTTTGGTAACTTGCTTGTGACATGGGTTGTTTTCTGGTTTTGGTGTGGGGTTTGGTTTTGGGGTTTTTTTTCTTTGTGGTCTTGGGCTATTTTAACTCTTCTTGTTCCCCAGTAAAGAAGGATATTTTATGTAAATCAACCTCTCCTGTATACTAATAGCATAGCCAATGAATCCTGGTTTACTTCAGTTCAACCCGTTATCTTTTTCTTTCAGAAATTCAGTATGCTCTTTTCTTTTCTGGATAACACTAGGGTGGGACTTGGACAATGCAGGCCACTAAAATGAGCATACATATCTGCCTAAGTGCTTATCTATAGTTTTTTTAAATCTGGACTTCTAAGGCTCTGTTGCATACCAAAAATGACCTACCAGCCAAAGAGAAGTGATAAATGTTTTCAAAGCAGAGTTAACTTGTATTATCTGTTAAAAACTTAATTTTGAATGTTTACACTGAGATACTGAGTGTAATTTTATCAGTAGTACATGCTTTTTGTTATGGAGGGAAGTTTAAATATTTGACAGAGACTTACCCTGGAATGAATCATGGTTAAAACACTACTTTGTGTTAGCACTGAAACTTGGCTTATCTATTGCGTCTTTGTCTTCTGTCCAACAGATTTTTTTTTTAACCAAGGCCTATGTGAAAAATCCATGGCTTTATTTATATTTTACATGGCTTCTCTTGATTTGCTTTGTCTTTATTCAGTCTTCTCTTCTCTTTTTTTTTTTTTTTTCCCCCCTAAACATTGCCTTAGAATTCTTGAGAGTGGAATACACCCTTTAATATCTGCAAATGTTTTCTCACTTGTTTAAGATCTTTTAAACTCCATTTTTTCAAAATCAACCTTCCTTGTTTGCTATATGATAAGATCAGTTGCATACGTAACTCTGCCAAAAAGAGTAATAGCAGCCAACTACCTCTTCTGAGAAATTAATTAAAAATCAAGTGCAATTTATTCTCATGTTCTGGATCTGCAGATACTAATCTTTTCTGTTATATTGTGTGCACTGGTTCAGAAGAGAGCTGAACAAGGATTATGAGCATTCTATCTAATTTATGGGAGGTTTTTTGCATTTCCATAATTGATATAAAGATACAACCCTGTCTGAAGTTGTTAAATTATTTAATAAACGATGGGTGTTAAACTAATCTGAGTGGTATTACATTATGCCCTTAGAAATACACACCATCTGTAAAGATAAGAGATGTATGTATGACCCACTATTCCAGAAACCACCTTAAAAAGCTGTATATTTACAGGCCAGAGCTTGTGTTGCTTCTGGGGGTCAATTACTTGCACTTTTATATACTTCTATGTTGTCTTCCTATTGGATCTAAGTTAAGTTGGGTAGCATAATTTATTATAACGGAATGAGGAACAGAACAAGGAACCTATGTAACTTTAAGATAAAAGTTCTAAAGTTGCATAGGTTAATAAACATTGACAATATTTGCTGGTTAGGCATGCTGTGTACGAACTGGTGTATTTGTGTAGAACCACAACATCTAGTCAGATGGCTGCTTAAGCTAAATAATTGTTTTTCCTCCTAGGCAATATTTTCACAATTTCAACACAGTCGAGAAAAAGCACTCCCATCAGATAATATGCGACATGCCCTGGCAGAAAGTTTTAAGGATGAACAGCGTTTCCAGCTTGGATTCATGGATGATGCAGCAGAATGCTTTGTAAGTATTCTTTGTAATAGTTGAGTAGAATTACATTAGTTTTGTGCATGCCAAGCTGGCTTGTTGTTTTGTAGCTCCAGGCTTACAGGTGGGATACAAGTGACACAATACGACAAACCTCCTTCATACCAGTTTTAGGGGAAATAGGCACATGGAGTAAGTGTCCGGTAATGTGGGACAGAGTAATCTTACATTTGCTCCATACTCCCTAACTCTTTTAGGCAGAGGGATGTGTGAAATATGGTTACTACAGGAGGGCAGTGAGGATGGTGAGCTCTCAATCACTGCTAAAAGTTCGTGGGTGGAGAGAAGGGTTATCTTTGAGGGAGCAGAGGCGTCTGTGGATTTGAATATATAGTCTGTTCTTCCAAGTGTTCTTTCATCAGCTATTGAAATATATTCCATTACAACTAGCCAGCTTGTTACTGAAGTCTTCTGCAGAAGATATTTCCATTTTCTTATCCAAGTATGAACAAATAATTGAAGTTCTTGACTCTTGCATGAAGTGTCTCCCTGAAAAACATGAGCCATTACTGTGGCAATAAAAGATGACTGAAGATAGTGTAGAACACTGGTAAAGAAGCCTTTCTAAGAAGTCCTATGTTAGACTATGAAAATTGTTTGGCATTATAAAAAATGGGATCATTTAAAAAAAAAAAAAAAGGATCTGGACAGGCTGGATCAATGGGCTGTGGCCAATGAGATGAGGTTCAACAAGGTGAAGTGCCGAGTCCTGCATTTGGGCCACAACAACCACGTACAATGCTCCAGGCTTGGGGAGGAGTGGCTGGAAAGCTGCTTGGTGGAAAAGGACCTGGGGGTGCTGGTTCATGGAACCGAACATGAGCAGCTTGTGTCCAGGCAGCTAAGGCAGCCAACAGCATCCTGGCCTGTATCAGAAATAGTGAGACCAGCAGGGTCAGGGCAGTGGTCATCCCCCTGTACTGGGCACTGGTGAGGCTGCACCTCAAATCCTGTGTTCAGTTCTGGGCCCTTCACTACAAGACAAACATTGAGGTGCTGGAACAGGTCCAGAGAAGGGCGAAGGGTCTGGAGCATAAGTCTTATGAGGAATAGCTGAGGGAACTGGTTTAGTCTGGAGAAGAGAAGGCTCCAGGGGGAACCTGATCACTCTGAACAACTACCTTGAAGGGAGATTGTAGTGAGATGGGGGTTGGTATCTTCTGCCAAGTAACAAGGGATAGGACAAGAGGTAATGTCCTCAAAGCTGTGCCAGGAGAGGTTTAGATTGGATATTAGGGAAAATTTCTTCACAGAGAAGGGTGGTCAGGCATTGGAACAGGCTGCTCAGGACCGTGGTGGAATCACCATCCCTGGAAGTGTTCAAAAACTGCGTAGATTAGACCCTCGGTGATATGGTTTAGTGGTGGTCTTGGCAGTCCTGGGGTAATGATTGGACTTGATGACCTCAAAGGTCTTTTCCAACCTAGTTGGTTCCATGATTCTATGGAAAAATATATCACTATTAACCTTCAGACACAGAGATGAGGGACAGAAAACATAGTTGCTGCTTTGAATACTTTCAGCTTTGGACGTTCATGTGAGTATCCACAAATGGATGCCTACCTGCTAGATGAGTTTTCACATACATAGAGAAAAACATAAAAACGTGAAGAACTGAGGCAGAGGCCTAGTCCAAAAAAGGTTTCAGCCATTGCATGCAATGACATTAATATCGTATCTTACTGTAAGAACAGCTTTTTAAATTTTTCTTGATGATGCACTTCCTTCAAAGAAGAATGCATTCTGGAAGGACGATGCATAACTGTTGTCTAATGCTGTTTTGTTAATGTTTGGAAACCTTGAGATGAAGAGAATTCTCATCCACTGGGCTGTGAGTAAGAAGGGAATTAAACACACATTAAACTTACAAGTGGGCTATTTGGAGCCAAGGGGAGTAGTTGGAGTATTAAACTGTAGTGTTGCTCCTATATTCTGACTTCATCAGTTGAGTTTATATTTATGTTATTATTTCTATTTAGGAAAACATCCTTGAGAGGATCCATTTTCACTTGGTGCCAAACAGTGAAACAGATATGTGCACTTCAAAATCCTGTATTTCTCATCAGAAGTTTGCTATGACACTGTATGAACAGGTCAGATCTTTATTTGATTGGTTTAAGAAATAATTTGTTTCCGCTGTCCTGAGTAAATAAAAAGTATTTTTATTTTTGTAGTGTGTATGTCGTAGCTGTGGAGCGTCATCAGACCCATTGCCTTTTACGGAATTTGTGCGTTACATTTCTACCACAGCCCTGTGGTAAGAGCTTTTATTCTTCTGTATCATTCTTCTACATACACCCTTTCAAGAATAAGCAGAGCATGCCAGAGAAACGCTGTAATGGTTAAAAATGAATGTGTGTTCCTTTGTTAAAATGTTCGAGAGATTGTCCAAAAGTAAAATTTGGATTTCAAAACCAAGATTTAGGGAGAACTTGACAAAAAGTATGTACTTCTACTGTTTTACCACTTTATCTTTCCTTTTTAGTCAAAAGATATAGTTGAGAATTGACTGAAATATCTTAACTCTTAAGAAGGGATATCAACAGTTAATTTCCATTTATTTTTTACAGTAATGAAGTAGAAAGAATGATGGAGAGGCATGAACGTCTCAAGCCAGAAATGTTTGCAGAACTGCTGCAGGCAGCAAATACTAGTGACGACTACAGAAATTGTCCTGTAAGTAAACAAAGATGTTGCATTACTTCAGGATACAAGGGACAACTTTCTAAGATGACAAATTGAACTGAAGTATTCCCTTAAAAGCTGGATTACCTGTGGCCACTTCTGCACAGTCCAACTTAAAAAAAAAAAAAGCCCTTAAATTTATAATTTTTTGCTCCAGTTACAGATAAACATGGTATGTAGGTGCAAGTGGCCTGTTTAGATAATTATTAGGTCTGTGTTTTATTCTTCATTTTCTGTTCAGTGTGATCAGTTGGAACAGATTTATTTTCCTGAATGAAGCTGCTTTAGTTCATATTCACTGACAGCGCAACAACATTAATTTCTAACTGGAATAATTTTGTGCTTCTGTTGACAAAAATAGTCTCTTTCAGCTTATTCTATTTAATGTCTCTTTGCATAAATACTGTTAATTTAGGAACCATAGAAGAGTACACAAGAATGGATAGACTTCAGCTTGAATGATTAAATGGATTGGGAAAAAAAGAGAAAATCTGATGGTGACTTAGAAGTTGTTGGATGGAGGTTTCTGTTTTAAGTTGGTGACTGGACATAGAAGTTTAGCTGTAGTCTTCGTCAGAGTATATTTTTTATCATTAATTTTATCCTTAAATTGTTAGAAACAAACACCATAATTTGAGAATTAAAAGCAGTTGCAGAGTTGTATTGTTGCAGAGTTGTATTATTGCACTATTTTGTGTCTAGTAACTCAACTTCAGACTTCCATTTTTTTTTAAACATTTTTGTTTTCCCTCCCATCACATTTTTTCCTTTTTTCTAGAGTAACTGTGGTCAAAAAATAAAAATCCGTCGTGTTCTTATGAATTGTCCTGAGATTGTCACAATCGGTTTAGTCTGGGATTCAGAACACTCTGACCTGACAGAAGAGGTTATGAGGAATCTGGCAACACAACTTTATCTTCCTGGGGTATCTGATCTAAGAATTACTATTTGCTTATTCTAGATTTTTGTTTTACATGTGTATTATATAAATGTAAATATATTAAAAATATATACATATCTATTTTTTTAAAAAGCACAATTTAACTTCAAAATTTATGTCTACTTTCACCATTTTATAATGTGCTGTTTAATGTAGTTTCTGAGAGGAAAAAATCCGCTCAGAAGTGTGGGTATTGTGCCTAGGTACAACGATGAATGTAGATGAATTAAGAGTTGAAAATTTAGCAATATTATGTTCAGTTTGACATTTCTGGAATTATTCCAGAGCATTATTGTTTTACCCTTTGAACTATGCAAAAATAAATATTAAAATAGATCTAATAAGTGCAAAAATCAGTATTTACTAATGAAAAATTGTATAATGCAACACTATATTTGATACCAGTTGTCATGCTGAAATGCCAGTAGTAGGTTTGGAAACTGACGCTGTTTTACGCATTTTAAAAATATAACCATTTTTTACAGCTGTTTTACAGAGTTACAGATGAAAATGCCAAAAATAGTGAACTTTTTCTTGTGGGAATGATTTGCTACACAAGCCGACATTACTGTGCCTTTGCCTTTCACACCAAGAGTTGCAAATGGGTGTTGTTTGATGATGCAAATGTAAAAGAGGTAAATATTTGTTTTACTGCTACCCAATTTTGTGATCTTTACTTTTCTATAATGCATCCTTCTGATACCAAACTTGAAACAAGACAAATACTTTTAATAAAATTAACTTTTAGTTTTGTAAATGAGTTTCATGAATTTTAGAATTTACTTCAGTGTTTTCCAGTTCTGCGTTCCAAATACCAAATATTTCAGAATATAGATGAATATATCTACCGTTAATTGTATTTGTGCTTCTTTTAATGAAAAAGAAACCCTTATTACTGGCAGCAGTATTCATAGTGTTGATGTTGTGATTGTTAGCCCATGGAATACAGGTTCTAGCTTTTTGCCGCAATTCACATAAACTCTTGTGCCAAATGTTGCATCTTAATGTACCTTTGGAATTAGGCATTGGAATTGCTAATGAATTATTCTTTCCATAGTTGGTCTCAATGATGTGGATAAAGTTTTGGGGGGTGTCTTGTTTTTTGGTTTGCTTTTTTTTTGGGTTTTTTTTTTTTTTAGATTGGAACAAAATGGAAAGATGTGGTCTCCCGGTGCATTCGGTGTCACTTTCAGCCACTGTTGCTGTTTTATGCTAACCCAGATGGCACAGCTGTATCTCCAGAAGATGCTCCAAAGCAGATTATTCACTGGTCTCAGTGTAAAGCAGCAGCAGGAAATGGGGAAGACTTGGGTAATTAAGATTTTTATTTTCAATTTTTTTTTCTCATTAGAAGTATTAACTATACTTCTGAAATGTGGAATATAAAGGAGAAGGTAATGGATTAGCTGCTTTGTTCTTAAATACTTCAATCGCTAATTGTCTGAAGAGTCTCAAAAGAAAAGAGTTTAGTGTATATATTCAATATTAGAACTGTTTGGTTTGTGTCTGGTAAGGGAATATAAATTGAGATTCATGGATAATGGGGAATAAAGAGTTTCTGTTGTAGATTGTTCATAGCTACTTTACATAATGAATTACATAATTTCAGTAATTTCAGAAGAAAAACGTGTATTTGTGTATGCAGATGTTATGTGTCTATTGATACATTTAAAATACCTTTAAAAATGCTATAAAATGATAAATGCTATAAAAAGTAAAGCTTTGTACACATATGGAGATATATTTGGAGCATGTGTGTCTGTGTGTATATATATATACACATGCACAGAGCACAAGTCAACATTGGGAAAAATCAGGAGAAACTGCAGGAAACTTCTCTCCAAGATTCATATAGCATAGGCCTCTATATAAGAAACCATTCTGTTGGTTCTGTAGTTTGTACTGCTGCCTTGGTGGGTTTTGGGGAATTTTTTTATTTTATTTTTTTTTTCCTTTTTGTGAGGTTTGGACTCTCTGCATGTGGCGGTGGGGTTTTTTGGGAGGAAGGGTTTGTGTTTAGTTTTTTAATATTAAACATAACATAAAAGGCCAGTTGAATTTGACATTCCTCTTTACACAATGAGTAGCAATCGGACATAGACTGCTTCAGGGAAGAAAGAATTGAGGACCATATTTCACTATAGTCTACCACTATAAATATGGCAGCATATAAAAATACTGCAGAACCTTATTGCCTACCATATTGAAATGGGATGTGGTTTTCTGGTGGGGGTTTTCATTTGTTTTCTCTAATCCACAATTAAAAAGTTCTATTATTTTTTAATTTAGATACTGGTAACTTTGAATTAGAAACTCTTAATTCCTAAAAAGAGATTATGTTATTTGATAGGACTTGAAAAACATTCCACCCTTAAATCAGACCAAATGAAAGAGAATGGAATCGGAGATCCCTCTAATCAAAGGACTAATAAAAAACTTCAGCCAGATAATTCAGCAATCAGTAGAAGCCATATTCAAGCTAGTGGTGGTAGAGGTCCAGGTATGTATTACCTACTCCCATCCTTGAAAAACCCAAATTGTGTTCTATTATGAAATACTTCAGTTGATAGCATTTCAGGCATGTGCTAGCCTCTGGACTAGAACTGTTTCTAAAGAAAGAATTCTGTCATTGACTTGAATGAATCGTGGAATTAGCAACTAGTGTTTAAGTTGTATCTGCCAGGGAGTGTTAACTTTTGTTGAGAACTGTAAATGCAAAATTTTTTATTTCTTTTCATAAACAGTGGCTCCACTGTATTAATAAAAGTAAACCTTCATGTTTAGACAAGATTAAACTGATATTATTTTTTTTTAGTATAATTTCAGTATAAGTAATAAAATTTGGTGTAAATAGCATATGCTTTGAGTGGTATATGCTTTGAGAATTCAGTTTTAGTAATTAAGAGGTGTTTAAGACATGCTTGACACAATGCTGCTTTGGTTCCTTTCATTAGCTCCACTGGGTAGAGTCCTTGGAGATACCTACATGTTTATACTATACATCTCATTTTCTTAATTTGTGTTACATAATTAATTAGCCTTTTTAAGTAGTAGTAATATTAAAAACAAATGGTAGATAAATGTATTGGCATGTTTTGATGATGAATGACTTTTGAGTAATAATCTTTGACAAAAAGTATTTTTTGCAGCTAAGTTAGGTTACAGCGATCAAAAGGACAGGCTAAAGGACATATCCAGAGAGTGTGCTCAAAAAGCTGCTGATATGAAAAACTTCTCATCTTTACGGAAAGATGCAGATAGAGGACCAAGAAAAGAGTCTGGGAGACAAAGAGGTACATTCTAAATATGACCAGAGAATCAATGGGTTAAATATCTTTAAGAATCAATACTATCTATGCAGATTTAAAAATAACCTCCTTAAAGAGAACACACCTGTAAGATTAGAATTTCCCAATCTTTGGTATTCTAAAACAAATGTACTGAATTTTTTGGGATAGTGTAATAAACATAAGTACTGTAACAACATCAGTTAAAAATTAATGAGAACTTTAATGGAGCTTTTTTTTTTTTTCCCTTCTTATAAGATTTGACGGGGGAAGATCATGCCGGTGTTAAGTCGGGGTCTCCTCCAGTTGGAAATGGACTTAGACACTGTGCTGATCAGCGCATATACAGCAGCCAGGGAAGAGGCGTCTACAAGCATGAAAATGCACCTCACCAAGCAAAGCTTTCTGCACAGGTGATTGGATCAAATAAAACAGAAGCTTGTCCTGCTGGGGAGAAATCGGTGATAAGGACCCGGACTGATGGTGTCACTGGCTACGATACAGACACCAGTCAAGACTCTAGGGACAAAGGAAGTATCAGCAGCAGAAGCAGAAGTAAAGGTTGGAAACCTATGCGGGAGACGTTAAATGTAGACAGCATTTTCAGTGAGTCTGAGAAAAAACAGCATAGCCCAAAGCACAAGGCAAATCTGAACAGTAAATCTAAGCACGAAAAAGAGCGAAGCTTTAGCTATTGGCCAAAGGAGAACCAAATCCAGAAAGGTTTAATGACTATATATGAAGATGAAACAAAACAGGATACAGGAAGTCGAAGTTCACTGGATTCAGAGGGAAAAGGGAATGCTGAAAAAAGCAAAGGATTTACAGAGAGAAAAATCCATGGTGATAACTGGCAAAATCAGAAGACAGAATCTGGATATGAAAGCAGTGATCATATCAGCAATGGATCTGCAAATCCAGACTCGCCTGTTATTGAAGGAATCAATCCGGCAGATGTCAAGAATGTTAAAGAAAGTGCTTCCTACAGGTAATGCTAATGCTCTCAGAATATATATAGATTGTGTATTTACAGGTGAAGTAAGTTGTTCTAATGTTTGTGGTGTTTCAAAAAAAAAAAATCAAGGTAACATGCTTTGGAAGTTTGTATGCTTGAGGTCAGGTATGTAGAAAGCTAGCAATATATCTAGAAATAAGGGTGTGGACAACTAAGTGGTAAGTTTACCTTTGCTCTGAGGCTGCAACACTAGATCCCTTTGGAAGGCACTGAGCCTCACTGTTAACAGTGCTGAGCCAGAACTCCTAACCTGATGAGGGGCAGGGTGTGTTAATTTGGAATAATTGCTATACTTCTTTAGTTGCAAGGTTTTAGACGGTGGCCATCTGTAATGGAATACAAGTGTCTACATAAATGGTATCTTTAACAGTTGTACAGACAGGCCCCTGACAAGGAGAGGGGAATGGCAGTAGGGGAATCTGGTACACAGTTACTAGTCATTGTTCTGAAATTCAGTTTTCTAGAACACCTCGGGTACATATATTCATCACTTGATAATTTATTCACCTGTTTTAAAGAAATCTTTGCAGAAAAGTGTAAAATTACTAAAACTGAACAAAAAGTTAACAGGCAAATTCTATTAATCTGCTAAGAACTGATGTATGCTAGTGACAAGTACGTTGCCCAGAGACATTGTGGAGTGTCTGTCTGTGGATGTACTCATAACCCAACAGGACATGGTCCTGGGCAGCCTGCTGTAGTTGACCCTGCTTGAGTAAGGAGGGTTGAACTAGACAATCTGCGGAAGTCCCTTCTAACTTAAATAATTATGTGGTGCTGTAAAATATGAAGTTATCAACCTTCCACTTGCAGTTTCCTGCACTGGGTTTCATAAACTACATGTGAAACTTAATTCCTACTAGCAGTTATATATTCTTCTGTGGAATCTTATTTATATCCATAAAATGGAAAAGCACAGTTGTGAGACCAGACCTAGTCACACGATTGTTTGATTTGAGCGAATTTTTTTGACTTATTTTTTCATTAGAAGTTATTTCAATAACTTTTAATGTGGTTAAAGAGAACCGCATATACCTGGAAATGAAAAGGCTCTGCCTTCTCTAAGCAGAGATGCAAAATTTTAAACCAGAACAAAACAACCTTCTTTATCAAAATACAAATGACTTCTTGGAATTTCCAGAAAGATTTTATATGAGTGGTAATTAGAGTGGACTGGCAATACCCAGTAGCTCCCTTCTAACCTTTCATACTGTGTCTTATAAAACCAGAAAATACAAGGGAATTTCTTGAAAGTTCTTTTGGAAGGTGGAAAAAATTTTCAAGTGTTTTGTTTTCTGATAGGTTCTTTCCTAATTCTTCCTTTTTCACGATTTATCTTGTTTTTCTGTCTTTTCATTAACAATAGTTTCTTTTGGTTTGTTTATCTTAATTGAAAAATTGACACTGTATTTTCTTCCTTGCCTTACTCTTGGAGAAGGAAGGAATTGGCAGGGTGTTTGTCAGCTCCCTATCTGGATTGGTAAGGCATGCTTTTTGCTTAACTAAACCAAGATACACTAAATCTGCTGATTTAACTGCCCCCCCCTTCCCTTCTTGGATTTGCTGCTGTAATCTTCTAGTTCTCTTCCACTTTGAGAAAAAGTTTTAAAATTAAAATCTCCATGAATGAAAGACCCAAGTGGCAACTGCAAGAATGATATTTGTTCTCACAACAAAGTATTAATGAATTGCAGAATGTCAAACTAGGGAAATGGGCAAGATAGAATGCTAGCTAACAGGTTACACATACTTGGGATATTGATACTGATGAGATGTTGGCATTTTTTAGGAAACATGAGCTTGTCATAGTCAGATGCTGCTATATGTTTAACTTTGAAATATTCAGGTTATAAAACTACTAAAGCTGACAGATGTATTTGTTTCAGATGTACATGATACTGATGATAGATTTGAAACCATATAGTACCCATGGGTAGTATTCTTTCACCACACTAAAAGTGACAATATTAGGTAAAACCTACAAATAAATTTGAAATTGACCAGTGGTATCTGTTGTGTTTGAAAATCACTAGAGAAAACAGCTATTCAAATAGTCACACTCTCTTGGTGATCTCTAATAAGCACTTTATGACATTTTTATGAAATTCTTGAGTTTACAATGAGAAAAAGTGCAGTTGATGGTTCTTTCTCACAGGTGACACATCATTTTTCTGTTGTGAACAACTCTGGGAACCAGCTCTCTTTATTAAGCCAGCTGATGTAATACTTGCATCAAGAAAATTTTCTTTTGAGGTCCTGTATATCAGGCATCCTGCTGTTGTACTCTAGAGTAAGGCTGGGATGAATGGGTGTCCAGTCTCCAGAATGAACTGGGAATACCAGCTTCACACTCTGTATTTTTTTTGTCTGTCCTTATTAACGTATTCAGGTCATGCTAAGTTTCTCTGTATCGGCACAGCCTGTTAACATGTCGCAGTGGTGTTGAAGTATTAAGGGGCCACCCCTACTGTTCTGTGTATCTTTTGTGAAGTGTGTAAGTAAAAAAAAATGTGACAATGATGGTAACAAGAGTCAGTATAACATGGGCAAAGTTTTTATGCATTTATGCACTCAAGGCAGTAAAGTTTGTAATCATACATCATTAATTTAAGCCTTCAAATTGAATGTATGCTTCTTTTACAGTGAACAGAACTTGCCAACCAAAAAACCTGACAATGTGTTACATTCGGTAACCCAGCAGAGAAGAAACTTTTATGGTAAGGACTTTTAACTTATATAAGAAATAAGAAGTTTTCTAAAAACAACTTAGATCTAACAAAATTTTAATACTAGCTTACTAATCTCACACAAGAGGTGGGCAGATTCCTGATCTGCCTTTTGTAGTTCGTAATTTTTCTGCATAAGCTAATGTCGGATTTTGGTTTTATTCATGTTTTTAGCCTCTTCAGTGAGTTAAGAGTGATGAATAAAGATGGAAAGTGTTCATATCCCATCTTGGGCCATTTTGATGGAAATGTGATAGAGGAGCAATTCAATAACTATCACTTTTTTCAGGGGTATTTAAAGCATTCTGTTCCACAGAACACCTTAATTTATTCAGTTTCTTGGCTTTCTTGCAGAGTAAATGTACAGTGTAAATGGATTCCTAGCTATCTGCCATGATATATGGGTTCCCAAATAAAGGAGTTGGTTTTTTTCAGTGCCCGACCATCATGTAAAGAGAATTGTTAGTGCTATGATGATAGCAGCAGTAGCAGTTCCCTACATAGGTGCTAGGTCATCAGTATGCATGGTAAGAGTTTACCTGTTCTTAGCATCTCCTTTCGGACAGCAGCATTCAGATGTGTGCTGGATCATGTAAAAGCATGACATGCCCCTAAAACAGTTGTTACATATGACCTCTAGCACCAAAGTGACAGGCTGAGTGGTTTGGGTTTTTTTTGGTAGCACTTGGATCTGTTTTAAATACAGTATTTTTTGTGGAAAAGATAAGTATAATTTTGGGAGGCCATAGCTTCTTTATATAAATTGTTAGATAATCAGAATACAGTGATTCTTCTTGCCACAGTGGTCCTCTTTTGGTGTGTTTTGTTACAAAGCATTTTCTCTCTAGATTGGTAGAACAGTTTGTCCTTCCTTGTGTGTGTCCTTTACCACTGCCTGCTCAGGAAGTGGCTGGTGCGTAACTGCTTCTGGCTGGTATAGGTGCTCTGTACGAAAAATAAGAACACTTGTTCATCAGTATTAGTGATGTTACTGAGGTCTGTAGTGACCTGACAAGGGGCAACAGTTTTAAGCTGCAAGAGAGTAGATTTAGAATAGACATAGGGAAGCAATCTTTTATGGTGAGGGTGGTGAGGCATAAGGACAGGTCCAGAGAAGTTGCAGATGATCTGTCATTGGAAGTGTCAAGGTCAGGCTGGATGGAGATTTGAGCAAACCAGTGTAGTGGAAGGTGTCCCTGTCTAAAGTAGTGGGGTTGGACTTGGATGATTCTTAAAGATCCCTTCCAGCCCAAACCCTTCTATCATTTGACGACTGTGAGATTTTTGGTTGACTCTATGCTGGTGTAAAACATGCGGTATAATTAATTTTCATTGGCCTTAATTGGTGCTTTTTTTTTAATCCAATTGAAATTATTAAATGTAAATCTCATTTGCATTGCTTAGATTCTGCTTTCAGAACATATGTCTCAGTTTAATGTTTTGGCATTTGGTGTTTTATTTTTGGGGTTTTTTGGGGTTTTTTGGGTTTTTTTTTTTGGTTTTTTGGTTTGTTTGGTTTTTTTTTAGTTTTTTGGGTTTTTTTAGCAAGCATGTTCCTTTACTGCCCCCAAAACCAAAACAGACAAAAAAGAACAACAATAGTAATTTTGTTCCCTCCCCATGTTTTTCCCAAAAGCATTTCCGTGAACTTTCTTGTTGAATTCTAAGGAAGATTTTTATTATTTTTTTTAATGTCTGGGTGGACTGTGGTACCATTTGTTTTTCTTCAAGATACGAAGCAGAATCAGGAAGAAACACTTGTAATAAGGAAATCTACTTCCTTTTACATAGTAATATGTCTGTTGGGTTTTTATAAAGTTGATAAATGCCTTGGCATATAAATACTATAGGTCAGCATGGGGCCAGCCAAAATCATTATCGACTGTTGCTGGAACAATGGAATGGGGTTTGTACAAAGAAGTGCAATAAATATTGGGCCACTTCCCCAGGAAATGTTTGATTTTTGTAGATACCATACTTATTTGAAAAGAATGTATAATATATAATCTTTTAAGACTTAAATTGGAGGGGGGCATGTCGTACCACTCATCTCTTCTGGCATTATTGCATTTATTTTTTGGTTGTAGAAAGAGAACTAATTTTGTCTTGTTTTTTTGACAACAATGACAAAAAAAAAAACCCACAACAAAATTCATATTGCAAAGATCTAGTTTTGAATGACATTGATTCTGCTTTAGTTCTCTACTATACTTATAATACCAGTGGGGAAAACCCCACACTTGGATAGCAAAAAGAAGGGAAAAAAAAGAAAGTGCGTAAAGGACTCCATTGGAATGAAAAATAGTTTCAGACAATGTGTGAGCTTAGTAATCTGCGGAGACAACCGTTTACTTTACTTTAGTATACTTAAAGCTTTCAACATGCATTGTCCATTTTCTTTAAAGAAAAAGTGTAGCGATTCTAGGTGATCCTTAGACTTACCATAAAACATTGGGGATAAGATCCCATCTATTCAGTTAGTATAATTCAGTAATTAACTTTTGAATAGTTTTGTAACAAAAATGTATGTCTTTAAATCAAATGTCAAGTTCTCACATGTGAACATACTTTGGAATGAAGTGATTAATGGACTGAAAAGTACCTGAAGAAGTTGAAAAAATTTCACACGTGTGTGAGGTTACAGGTCTATTTAGACTCCGGTTTTTTGGTTGTCTGAATGTCAGGACTCCTTTAGCAAGGACAATAGTAGTCATTTACAGGTATCAGTTGTATTACCTTATGTTATATATATCTCTGAATATTATGAACAAAACATGAATTGGTAGGTAAATACCAAATGGACTCCCCAAAAAGAAGAAATGCCTAGTCCTTTCTAAGGGAGAAACAGAATGTAAGAAATCTCTGTTAGCCTCTCAGGGCAACTTGAAAAAATACCTCTGAGTGGGTTTTTTGTGTGGAAAAGTTTTTTACAGAAATAATGTTGTAATCCATATTATGCCTACCATTTCTATAATGATGCTTTATCATTTCATTGCTTTTAACTGGAGCTGAATAGGGCAGTTCAGCAGTTGAGAAATAAAACTTATTGTTAGAGCATTATAGAGATAGTAACATCAGATCACACAGTGGTTATGCAGATCAAATGGCTGCTTCTTTCTCTAGTAGTAAACAGTAAACTGTAGTACTGAAACAAATGTCCTGCAAGGCCAATCCCTAATTTGTGATCAGATTTTCACACGGAAACTTGAATATTCAGTAAGCAGATATAATAGCTTCAATTTATATTAATGAGGTGGTGGTTTTGAAGTTTGAACTTGATGAAACTGTTGGTTATTTTTTTCTTTGTTTACAAAGAACATGTGGCATAAACAATGAGAGGGGAAAACTTCGGACCTCGCATTCTTCGAGTTGAAGAAAGATGACTATAATTCTTGGCACTTGGAAAGGGCTGTAGAACTTTTAAATGGATTTTCAGAGCAGTCTCTGTGGTAGCTACTGAGAATCATTTTCAGTCATGAAGTGATTTTAGTGGCTTTCATGACAACCCTCCCCTATTCCTAAGGCAAAGAGGCCTTAATGAAATTGCCACTCAATAAAAGGCATTGCTTTTGGGAAGGTTAAGGGGGGAAGAGGGGGAATTAAAACCTAGAAGCCCTGTTTTCTAGGTTGAAACCCCCTCCATTAAAGCTCATAGCACTTCATTCTTGAGCTAACTTGTCAGTACAATAAGCACTGTGATTAAAATTGGCCATGTGCTTGTTGGCCTCCTATTTAAGATGCAGTGTTAAAAGCTGCCTGTTCAGTGATCTCAAAAGAAGATATACTTGGAATCAATGCCTTAAATTAAAACTGCTTTCCCTTGAAAATAAATGCAAAATTGTGTTTGTAATATTACAAACCCAGACTTTTTCCCATTAATAATTATTCAGTTGAATAGCATGAGACAACTCCAACTGAAATCTAGAAACATTCTGAAGCTCTGGTGAATAGGAAGAATCCAAATTGCCTTTGTTTATTTGTCACTTCAGAAAACCCCACAAACAAGCCAAAATTCTGAAAAAGAAAACTCATCTTCTTAGGAGAACAATACATTTATAGTAATGATTTAAAATAATGCAAATATACCTAAGAAAATCTAGTTATTATCTTTATAGTGTAGTCAATGTATACGATCTGTTTGAAGAACTGGGTAGAGAATTAAAGCATAAAGCTACTTAATTTACTTAACATGAAACGGAAAGAAATAAATGCTTTTTGGAGTGTCTTTAAATGATTAAAGATTTTGGTAAAAAATTAAAGTAAGATAACCACCAAAAAAAAACCACCCTGCAGTGCAAGTTTCAAGATTTCCAAATGTAATTAAGCAGCCCATGAAGATTGAAATGTAAAGGACTCTCACATTTCTAATTCACTTCATTAATGTGAGAAGTTTGCAATTTAAAATAGATGATGCAAAGGTTCAGGACTGTGTTTTAAAACGAAGAGATGATGAACTTCTTGAGACAGGCAGATCAGAGTGAAGGGAGGGTGTTCCTTGTCAACTGTTGCTTCACTTCAGAAGTTATTTAAATGCTCACACACATGCAGATATGCACCACCCCACCCTGCAAAAAAACCCAAAAACCAACAAAACCAAAACAAAAACCAAAAACAAAAAAACAAGCAAAACTCTATTTAAATTTTCTCTAGATGTTTAAAGTCATGGGAAAAAAAAGCAGTAATGAATATATAAGAAACATTTTGCAACTGAATGTTGCTCCAAAAGAAGAGTTTCTTAAACGGAAGGTGGGTTTTGGTCTGGTTTCTTTTTGTTTGTTTTGTTTAGTTTGGTTGTCGTCCCCCCCAGATGGTCACTGTTTTCTTGGGGTTTTTTTCATTTTTGGTTTGTTGTGGGTTGTTGGGGTTTTTTTGTTGTTGTTGTTTGTTTTTGGGTTTTTTTAGGATTTTTCTGTCTTTGGGTTTGAGGTGGTTTTTTTGTTTGTTTCTTATTTTGGGTTTGGGGTTTTTTGTTTTTGTTTTTTGGGGGGGGTATTTTTAAATAATATTCTATTTTGGACAAGTTATAATATGTTTATCTTCTTGACTGGGATTATGTTTCCACATTTCCAAAGCTTCCCGTAAGTTTGTCATGTCAACTGAATACAGAAAAATGTCTTGGTTCGGAGAGAGGAATTTGCCACAGTACTTCTTACCAAAAGTACTGCACCTTGTCTTTTTTCACTGGAAACTTAGTAAAAAAAAAATTACAAGGTAATCAAAAGGACAGGAAACATGCAGCTAAAACACAATAGAAGGGAACTGCCTTAATATTGGGGTGGGGGTGGTTCTGTTTTTTTGGTTCCCCATAACACAGAACTTTGCAGATATTTGGAAATGTCTGTGTGTAAATGAAGATACTAAAGGAGAACTTGTCTGTCCTACCTCTTGGCTACAGAATGGCTGTTACTCTTTTGAAAATCTAGATTGACTATTCAGATGTGAAAATAGATGTCCATGAATCTTCAGAGCAGATTGGTTTGTATGTCAGGAAACGGTTATGCTTTATTTATTGGTAAGCTTCTTGTGACCCATTGATAAGGATGTCAGTCACCAGCCGAGCGCAGTGCTCGTGTGTCCCATATTTAGGTTTGCAAAGAACCTAGAGCCAAAATTCCCAATCGAGTCTGCGTCTGGTTTTAACCATGCATGGATATCCTGTCAGCAGAAGAGAAAATAACACATCTATTTTTAAGTTAGCTGGAATTCTGAAGGCACAAACCACCTGGTACCCGCTGAGCAGCTTTGGCTGGATGTGTGCTGTGGTCACACCACACACAGCTTATTAACCTTTACTGCCGCCTCGTGACCAGCTTGTGCTCCTGCCTGTCGGCAGCTCCTCCTTAGGAGCGTGGCTTGAGTAAAAATAAAGTTAGTATCTGTTCTCTTTGTATCAGGCAGTTTGAGGCATTAAGGCGCAGTTGTATGGGTGATGTGTTTGTGATTTCTCTGTAGATGCGCTGTCCTATAAAAGTCAATATATTCAGAATCTGAAGGTTAAAAACACTAGCTTTGGACACTGTTAATGTAGCAAATTATTTAACTAATTCATTCCTAGGACTGTGTCCTAATGTTAGGACAGAAATTAAACACTGAATTGGAAATAATCCCAGGAAATAATGTGTCAGAGCCTGTGCCATTTCTTTTTTTTTTTTTCCTCCTCAGTAAAGCGATTTACACACCATTAAAATCTGTAGCCGAATGAAACATTTTCTGTTTGAAATATTACCTCGATGTTAGTTAGCTCCAATGCCACGGGCCACTGGAGCAGTTTCAGACTTTTTCAGGTGAATTGCTTGTCCCTTGCCAGATTCACACAGGCTCATTCACTAACAATATTGTCCCGTAAGTATTCTTTCTGAGGTTATGGTGTTGTTTATCATGCTGGAATAGCAAGATCTATTTTTTTTACTTTTTCATTTCTTCCCCCTCCCCCCCCCCATTTCAAGGCTTGAAGGAAAACCAAGTGGGGGCTTTGTCTCTTGTGCGATGTCCTGTGTTAGGCTCTACAGCCTGTGTTTGTCAAAGCTTTAGTGTCTTTGGTCTTTCATCAATTAAAGATAGGGCAGATACTGACCCTGAAAGCAAGTATCACCCAGCAGCATCACCCAAAGTTATTAGTTTAATTATTTTCTGTTGTTGGGGTTTTGACTTGTATGTTTACGAGTCAAAAGTTCCAAGACTATTTAAACTTTGGGAAATAAGTGAATTAAAATACTTGGATCTTGGTAAGATTACATACTCTAAGAATAGGTACAAAATTTAGGTTTTGTTGATGAAAGTGTGGAACAGCCTATTACCTAAGTTAGAAGTTGTCTATGTTAGAAGTTGTCTAAATACTGAATACAAGATTATTCTACTAGAAATTGGGCAGTTCATGCTGCCTTTATTTCCTGGGTTTTTGAAATAGGCTTAGTAGTTATCTGAATCTAGTCTATACATCCATAAAATAAGACTTTGAATAGCTTCAGAGCAGGTGACTCATTATAAAGGGCCAGTCATTGCATTAGGAAGACTTGTAATATCTCTCTAAACAAATAGACCATTGCTTGTCACTTGCCAAGAGAGTGTTTTATTCTATGTGTTGTTGACATGGCTACTTCAATGCTTCCTTTATTTACTATTAACTAGAAGCTGCATTGTTCAGAAATTATGTGTTTTTAAAGAATGATTCTTTGCCTGTGAATAAAAGGAGCTTCTAGAGTGTGAGTGTAATAATGCTGGCCCAGGCACACTCATACTGTGCGTTTAGGGCACATGACTGAGAGTGCTGCCTGTCTGCTCAGCATCTCTATGAACTTCACAATTTGCTGTAGGTTTGGTTTTAGTTGGTTTGGTTTTAGTTGGTTTCAAAGAATGCACTTATTGAATAAACAAACAAACCAGAAAACAACAAAATCACACAAAAACCCAACTGACAAACAATTACAAAAAAAGAAAAGCACCCCCTAATTCCTGCAGTATTCATTCCATTTAATTATTATTACATGATGTGAAATTTCAGAAATAATAAATAGTTTTTATTTTGTAATTTAAATTACTTTGGATGTTTGAATAAACATGCTATTATAAAAAGCTGCTTTTCAAAACCTGCTTTTAATTATATGAAATGTTAAGATGATCTTGGAATCATGAATATAGGACTTCTACATTGTGGTAATTGCCTATATTCTGATAACATTAAAAAAAAAAGCCAAAAAACCCCCACCAAACAACAACAAATTTCCTCATTTCTTTGAGATTATTTTGGATTACTATAAGATTTGACCATCTGTGACAGATTGTCTTCAAAATGGTTATTTTGATCAATGTCAACTCTTGAAAGGAATTAATTGTCCAGTTGTGTTTTGCTTTTGTAACCTCTGAGGAATTACAAAGAAGGAACTGGACTGTATTTCTGCTGATTGTGAAAGAATTTTTTTTCTACCCCCAGACTTGAGGAAAGACCAGGTCAATTCAGAAGTTAACTACAGACCTCATGTTAATTTCCCGACAGAATTACATCTGCAGGTGCCCAGTCCTCCAGTAAAGAGGTAACTAATACTGGCATTAATTTACTGTGTAATAGTTTAAGAATTGTTATGTGATAGTAATCAATATTAAGCATTCAAATGTTAAGATATTGACTATTTTTGAGACAGTGCCGTATCTATTTTACATAATTGATAAGGCTAAATGCTCTCTGTCAGTGGAATCAAATAGCTTACACTGTTTTAAACCATCTTAGCAGAGTAAAGGGGTTTAATAGTTTTATGTTTTTACTTTAATGTACTGCAACAGACAGTGATTAACATATTTGCGGTTAGAGCAGTAACCTCATGAAATCTTGAAAAGGTTGCCTGGAAGGGGAGAAAGAGGTGACCTCTGTTTGGAACCTGCTGCTATATACCAGTTGTTTCTAATTTGAACTGTAAGTGCTCAATACCTCCTAAAAATGAAGAATCTAAATACAAATTTAGCACCCAAAACTATTATTAGAGCTCTTTCATATGTTTTTATGGATACTTATATCTTGTGTGGTTTTGTATTTTAGAGCTGAAATGCCTGAGACCAATAGGAAACTTTTCCCATCGTCAGCTCTACAGCCAATTCTTAAAGACATTGTTAAGTCAGAAAGTAGAAACAAGGCAAGTGAACAGAATTCTTCAGAGTGGCTTAATCCAGACAAGTTAGAGAAGATGAACATGCCATTGTATTGTGCAGATGGCGTATCCCACCCCTATACGGAAAACGTCTGTGGAAGGAAGCTGATGGGCAACGACTTTCACTCCTCTTCCCAGCCGCAGCCTCATCACGTAAGAATGTTTGGTCCCAAGGTGGGGTTGTCACCTTGTGTGCCACAGAACCTGTCAGAAAGGCCCACTGTGCTTCCCCCACCCACTGAGCATGCCAGGCACCCACTCCGAAGGGTGGATGCTATTTGGGTGCCTGAAGCAGTGTACCAGAATCTTCCTCCACCTTTACCGCCAAAGAAGTATGCTCTGAATACTTTTCCAGGATCAGAAAATAACTTGGCAGCTGATACAAAATCAACAGAGGTGTTGCAAAACAATCCATTGAGGCAAACAGGTACACCTTTAAAATCTGGATCAGAAGCAAGCACACTTACAAACGAACAAAGGCTTAAAGAGCCATTTCAAGGGAATGAAACGTTTGTTCATAAACCGGATTCTCCACCTCGCTTATCAGTTAATGATTTTTGGACTGTGTCTGAAAACTTTTTAAAGAAAGGCTCTCGTCACACGGGACCAAGTGCTGGCTACGTGGATGGAAATGATAGTGTATCCCTAACAACTTACTTTTCAGTAGATAGTTGTATGACTGACACATACAGAATGAAATATCATCAGAGACCCAAGATCTATTTTGCAGACAGTGGAAGCTTTCACAAAGAAAAGCATCCTCCATCAACAGGAGTAGAACTGAATGCTACGTTCCATGCTGCTCTTGAGCCCAGGCATTCCACATCCGAGCAACGGTACAAGGCAAATGTAGAAGGCATACACTGCAGTAGATAGTCTTAAAAAAAGAGTATCTGGATCTCACTTTGGCATTTCATGTAGCCTGTAAATAGGCACAAACATTGAGTCTCTGTGTTTGTAACTATGTACCAAGTTTACTGTACTTTGGAGTCACAACTGTCTAAATGAATATGCAAATAGAGGTGAACAGAGAAGGAGAGGTGCTAAACTTAAGGTTCTTCGATTTGTTACTCTGGTTGCCTTAATGCTTGCCTTTGTTATTCAGCTTGTCTTTTACACTTTATATTAAAAATGGTCCCTTTGAGTGTGTGCAACTTGCAGCAGTGGAATCAACTAGGTGTTACTGGGTTTGTAACAACATTTAGTAAGTTGCAATTTAAAAAGTGCTTCTTTGGACTATGGTCACTACATGCATAGACTAACGAAAGGGATAAACTTACTACCGTATATAATGCAGTAAATGTAGTTATAACTGAGCAGTATTTGTCCTGACAGAGGTGATGTGGGTTATTTGCAGCTGACCTCTCTGAGACTATGTGCTTTCACAAACCTTCAAGTGTCTTTATACAAGTTTACCCAGATAATTTCTAACTTTTTATTTGAAAAGCCTTAACAATAATTCTTTAAAAATGGTTGTTCTGGTTTGCAAGTGTTAAGTAAGATTTTTCAAAGGGAATTCAAGCAAACTGCAGAAATGGCCTGTCCTATTAATACACCTGCTCTGTGTTAGTGTACATTTTTAAACATAGTTATCAATCAGATTTGTTCACCCTTATAAGCCATATATACTTTAACTTATTAAAGTGAAATGTAACCACATAAACTACAAACCAATATAGCAGAATAGGATGCCAATTTTAAAATACAGAGTTATCATGCAAGTATGAAAAGGTTAATTTTGTAAGGTTTTAGATATATTTGCTACTTACGTTCAGTTCTGATTTATTCTATTGCATGCAAAGTCAATGCTGCTATTTATTGAACTTCCTATCTCTTTTTTTTTCAGCTTGACATTTCGAGCAATGTTTAGTGGAGGTCAGACACTTGATTTTACTGACACTTTTTCCTATTCCAGAGCACTCCCACCCACACATACGTTCTGTATTGTCAGGTCAGGCTGGCTGAACCAGCTGCCATTCAGGCTGCAGTGGCTGAGGCGGGCTGAAAAGACGAGGTTTCTTTCTTCAACTGCTCTAGCACTCTGCCCTGCAGTTTTGGCAGCTCTGGTATTTGCCATGTCTTCTCTTAATCTGACTTAGTAACAAAGCAGAGGATTTATGTGGCTTTTATTTGGTTAGTTAAATTGGTGCACAGAACTATGCATTTTGTTCTGAGGCCCAACACGTGGCCCAAGGGTAGCTGGGGAAGAAAGCAGCAGCCCTGACTGTTCAGAATCACCTGCTGCATCTTGTAGTGTCAGAGAGAGGGCCTTAGAGTTCTGTTTCAGTCTTGCAACACTGAACAATATGTAATTTAATGTCAGCAAAGTCTGACACGATCCAAAAAGGCTAAATTTTGCCATTATTCATGTTAGTGTTAACTTAGGGTGCTGCTGGTTACACCTGACCATCAATGCCTTTTAGTTATGAAAATAATGCAAGGAAGGTAAATATGCATATGAAACACTCTTGCTTATACTTGCACAGTCAGAAAAGCTTTTTTACATTTATAAACCTTATATACCTTATATAGAGAGTTTTACTGCTTCAACCAAATGTTAGCACTTGTTTAGCACAATTATCCAGGTTAGACATTTAAACAGTAGCTTTGGTTGTTCTGTGTTAAGGTCAGGGCTGCGTTGTTTGGTTTTTTGGGGTTTTTTTGTTTTGTTTTTTAAACTACATGCAACTGACAGTAGAACTGGAACATGATATATGCAATGAACCAGGTATCTCAGATTATTCGTATTTCTACCTTGATCAAAAATTGTTGTAGCACTTTGTGGGGATGGGAGGGCAGAATCTAGGATTTGTAGTGCAAATAATTATGCATGTGTAGGCATGGCTGCTGGTAAACTGTACAAAACCCCAACAACTTTAAAAAAGTATCCTTTTATAAGAAAATCGGTTGAATACAGAAAAAGAACCCTGAAAATGCATCAACGTGGAAGATTCCTAATTATAATATTTTTGAGATATTTCAAAACGTGTAGATTGAATTTTTCTACTTCATCTAGCAATGTTACATACTATACATAGCCAGTTAAATAAAACTGTCCTCTAATACGTGTGTAAAAATAAATTACTAGCATTTGTAAATAATGTAAAATCTGTAAAATGTTTTGAAAAAATCTTGTATTTGAAATGACAGTATTTTTATGTATGAATAGCACAGCAACAACTGTGAATACTGGGACACTTATTTTTAAACATGCATAGCAATGTTCATACTTGTGTACAATAAGCAATATGAATGCCTATTACCGATACCAATGAATTTGGCTTCCAGTAAAGCACAACTGGTAAACATCTTTTTAAAGTACCTGTAGTAACGTAGGTGTACTTCCAGTCTCCTTGCTTTGCTTGAACCAATCCTACCCACCAACTTTCTATGTGACCCATGTTTACCAGTTATTTAATTAAGTAGACAGCTAATCGAGGCACCTTTGTTTTTATATTTGACTGTGCACTCCATGTATTTATGTACTTAATATTTGCTAACTAATACGTGATAACTTGTTTTATCTTTCCTAGGGTGCCTATTTATTTTTTTATAAATGTTCCCTTCTGGCTATAGATTTGTATAAGAGCCTAGACAATTTTTGTAACAGTAAAGACATTAACAAGTCTTGTAATTAATATATTTTTCAGTCTTTAGAATTATTTTCCTGCGAAGTCCTGCTTGTTCAAACTATCAGATAAAAATTTAAAATACTCTTCTCTCTTCTTCTTTTTTTATTCCACATTTAAAAAAAAAAAAAAAAAAAAGAAAAGCTGGAAAGCTGGCTTTCCAGAACTACATTTTTAAACAGTGACAGACTAATACTGGTACAAAGGGTTCAAAGTCTTGCAGAGATGATGGTTCAGTTACATTATTTTTTTTTTTTTTTTTTTCAAACAGTAAAATTCAACTTCTGAAGTATTTCTTTAGAAAGCTAAATAGTTTTATACCTATGAAATGCGTAAGGCAATCTTAATTCCATAATCCCACAGCCTTGGGTAACAACTGATTGATTAGTTACACAAGCTCTCTTTCAACCTTATTACCTTCTGCCTTATTAGGGATAAGTGAAGTTTGCGTTCACATACATATTCACATGCTCCAGGAGCATATGAAATAGCTTAAGCCCAAGGCACCACAGGGCCTGCACTTCATTAGCTTTAAGTTTTCTGAGTGAAGTAAAACCTTGTATGCCAGATGTGGCTGAAGGAGAAAGTTAAATTTCAATCTATCTTCTAGTAATTTAGTTTTCTAAAGGATATTTAGACTTACATGCCTGTCTTCCTTACCAAAAGAGAAATGGAGCAACAGTGCTTCCCTAATAGGCTGTTCCCTTGAGATTCTCCTGGTGAAATCATGTTAGAGAAAAAGAGGGGGGAAATTAAAGAAGAAAAAAAGAAGTGAGCTAACTAGAAAACCTGTTTTTCTGCTGGTGAGAATGCAAAAAACTCTTCTATACCATTAGTCAAGGTCCCAGCAGCCAAGATCATAAATGCTAGCATCTCAATGGACGTTAAAAGTCAAAGTCCTGAATCTAGTTATCTTTTATAATTATTCCTGAAAAACACCCAGTGGCTATGAATTGTACCTTCCAGAATTAGGAACTAGTATTCACAAGGGAAAAATACTCAAGAAACCTGTACCCCCTCTTTCATCCATAGCTGAATACTCTCTTCCCTAAAACCTGATGAGGTAAAAAGCCTGCTCTATGTGTTTAGCTTTTTATTCCACTGGAGAATGTGAGAGACTCCTCGATTTAGCACTTTGAAAGTCTCCCTGTAGTGAGATGGGAAATTCTGATGCGCACCTGCAACTTGGAACCTCTGACTTGCTTCTTACAGCCTATGTAAAGTCATCCATGGAAGGTGTATGGAAGAGGGTATTTTGTGTATCACCTGCCAGCTGTTCAAGAATGCTGCTGACAGAAGCTTCCTCCTTCACTGTTTATTTCAAGGAAATCAGAACCTGTTTTACTTGAATTAGAGAGGACAGTAGGCTGCTACTGCTATTAAACACTGGCATGTTTCAGAAGGCAAAATAACTGCTGCAGTAGAAAAAGAAACATGTAATAGAAAACCAAACAGCATCAAACCCTTGTGATTAACTTTTTGAAAGTAAAACAACTGCGTAAGCTTCTTCCATTGAGGGAAAAGGTCCGAGTTCCACAGACTGAAGCTGTAAGAGCTGGATTTTATTCTCAGCCATTCTAAGTCTGTCCTTTCATTTGATTTTATTCAAACAGCATGGATTTTCATCTCTGCTTAACAAACCTTTAGGTACTAATTACAAAAGCATTGTCAGGCTGTCTTATGTGGCCTTTATGACACATTTCAGAACACAAAAACAGGATACAGGTAAAAATCTGAACAGTAATACTTGAGATACAGCCACAGATACTCTTAAGTACGTATGTATCTATGTGTGTATATATATGCTTTCTGCATTCAAGTGGAATAGTGTTCCCTGCTGTTTGTAACTGCACAAATGGTCCTCCTCTTCCTCTGCTTGTTTCTTAAGGTGCATCCTGTGATTAGATAGTGGCTCTACAGAGAACAGAAAAACACAGGTTACTTCTGCAGTACTACACAAGTCCTTTCGAAGACATGAGAAAACCATCAACCATACTTTCTGATCCAAGACCTGATACTGGCTGGCTTTTTTTTTTGTGTGTGTGTGTTTGAACAAATAAGAAAAACCCAACCTGCTGTTTTGGAATTAGTTTTACGTTTCTTCGGGGGTGTTTGTGCTCCCCCGGCCTCCTGAGGCAGCGCAGGGACAGCAAAGGCTGCTCGCAGGAGCC